ACGGTGCATGGGTTTTTGCACAGTGCAAACTCCAGGCACAGCATGTGGCTCTGGTCATGGTGCTGTGCATGGTGCATGGTTCTGGGCATGGCAGGTGACTCCAGGCACAGCATGCAGCTCCATGCACGGTGCAAAGTTTCAAGCATGTCACACAGCTCCAAGCACAGTGCAATGCTCCAGGTGCAGCCCGCAGCTCCGGGCACAGCTCACAGCTCCAGGGATGCAGCTCACAAGGCATTTGGGAATTGCACATGCAAGGGAATGGTCAGCGGGAGCAAAACCCAGGCTGCAAGCAACGCCTCAAATGCAGATCCGAGGGCTCCTGAAGAGCAGAAGGCTCCAGGAGGGAACATATCCAGAGAGCAAACCCCCAAAGAGGAAGCTCTGGGGTGGGAGAAAGTGGCAGCCCGGTGTCCCGGCCAGCGGTGCCACGTGCGCCCGGCGCTTGCCCCTTCCCGCGTGGAGATCCAGGGCGGATCAGATTGGATCGGGGCGGAGGGAGCCCGAGTCAAGGCCGCTTCCTGTTGATGTGCTCCGGCCGCAGGCCGAGCGGCGCTGGGGCGGCCGGCGGCCTCGTCAAGGATTTCCCGTCCGCGGGGACACGGYGGCCTCGGCGGAGGCGCGGGCCGGGCTGGCAGCGCCGCGGGGCCGCTGCCAAGCGCTCCCGGCCGGCGGGAAGCCAGGGAAGGAAGTTGTTAGGCCGGTGGTAAACAAACGGCGAGGAGCGGATAAATGGCTTGGCACGGGGCTGCCGGGGACGGGGGGTGCCCGTGTCGGCGCTGCTGCTTGTGCCGGCGGTGTTCCCAATGCCACTGGAAGTTCTTGTGCCGGTGGCATTGCCATTGGCATTGTCTTTGGCATTGGCACTTTCCATGCCATTGGAAGTTCTTGTGCCGATGGCATTCCCTTNTTTCCATGCCATTGGAAGTTCTTGTGCCGATGGCATTCCCTTCGGCATTGCCCATGCCACTGGCATTTTCCATGCCATTGGAATTTCTTGTCCCAGTGGCATTGCCTTTAGCATTGGCGTTGCCCATGCCACTGGCATTTTCCATGCCACTGGAATTTCTTGTGCCGGTGGCATTGCTTTCGGCATTGGCATTTTCCATGCCACTGGAATTTCTTGTGCCGATGGCATTCCCTTTGGCATTGCCCATGCCAGTGGCATTTTCCATGCCATTGGAATTTCTTGTCCCGGTGGCATTGCCTTTGGCATTGCCCATGTTGGTGGCATTGCCTCCACACTGCTGGCACAGTCACTGCACTGGTACCACAGCCCATGCTGGTGGCACTGTCTGTGCCACCGGCACTGTGCATGCCACAGGCATTTCTCGTGCCAGTGGCATTTGCAGAGCACCTGATGGTGACACTGCCCCTGCCAATGACATTCCTTGTGCTGGTGGCATTGCCCATGCTAGCGGCTTTGGCATCACCCATGCCAGTGGTATGCCCCTTGCTGGTGACACTGTGTTGGTGACACTGCCCATGCCATCAGTGTTGGCCTTGCCAGCGGCATCACTCAAGTGGTGGCATCTCCCTTGCTGGTGACACTGTGCCCGTGACACTTTCCTTGCTGGTGGCATTTCTCATGCTGGTGACGCTGCCCATGCCATTCACATTGACATTGACATTGCCCATGCCAGCCGCACTGCCCGTGGCATTGGCATCCCTCATGCTGGTGACATCTCCCACGCTGGTGACCCCGTCCCTGCTGGCATCCATTCCCATTGCACTGATACCCATTGCTCCAGGGTGCCCAATCTAGGATCCAGCAGCGCCTGGAGCGGGTGCCCCCAGCCGTGCCCCATCCAGTGCCATTCCCTGAGCTCCTGCCACCCTCCTCCGGACGCAGCGGCTGCAAAAACGCCCCGTTATTATTAGCAGCCTCGGATGCCTTCGCCCGGGGCCGTGGGGATATTTATAGCAGCAAGGAGCCCAGCTGCCACAAATCCCCGCTCCAAGTGTCACAGCGGGGACCCGGCTCCRGCCGCTGGCACAGGGAAACAGGGACACATCCCCATTGCAATGTGCCGAGTCGGGATGCAATTCCCAGCACCCGGCGGGGAAGGGAGCCGGCGTTCTCACGTCGGGGCTAATGCAATCTGCGCGGTGATTAGGGAGCTCGTTCCTCGGCCTTCGGATGGAGCTGGGAAAATTGAATTCCCGGCCATCTGCGGCTGGGGAGGAATTCAATTTGGGAGATGCTCGCAGGAGCCGGCGCTGCAGGGCCGCGCCGCCGGCACCCGCCGCCCCTGCTCGCTGGGCACGGGAAAACTGCAGCTTTGCACAAAGCAAAGAGGGATGGGGCCGGCACCCTGGCCAAATCCCAAGGAACAGCCCTGGAAAAGCGACCAGCAGCGGCCCGGATCACCCTCCCTGCACCCAGATGGTTGGAGCCGGGCAAGACGGGGTGGAAGGAGGCTCGTTCCGGCCTGGGCGCGCGGGGCTCATTAGCCCGTTGCTGCGAGGGCAGCATCGTTGCTAGGATCTCCATCTGCACCCGGCATCTCCCGGGCTCCGTTCACGGCTCGGTGCCCGGACGGGCTCCTTGCGAGCCGCTCTTTGCCAGGCGCCARCCTCCCAATGGCTCTTTCGGGCTCYGGCGATGCCCAAGCGGATGCAAGGAAAATATCCCTTGGGAGCAGACGCTGCAGCTGGTCCCTCCATGCCCCCCATCCGGAGCAGCCCTCAGGGATGCTGCAAACTTTGGGATAAAACGATGCAATGGGAAGGGGAGGCCGGTTTGGATCTTTTGGGGGAGGTTTGAGGATAATCTGGACTCCCAAGGCGGGTGCATCCGCACTCCAGCCGTGCCAATCTACAGCACACCAGGCACCCAGCTCTGCTCCCAACGCAGCCCAGCAAGGTGCCCGGCACCAGACCTGGCTCCTGCAGGGGTTTTAATCACTGTGTTTAGGAGAGCAGACGACAGCGATTACAGAAAGAGGAGCCTTGGCTCATCCTGCCATTCATCCCTCCACTCATCCCTCCATCCATCCACAGGGATAGAGCAGGGAGGGCGACACATTAACACCTTCCTGACCACCCCTGGGACCAGAGGGTCCCTGCCGTGCCCTGGATCTCCTTGTGCACTGGCCTGCATTACATTTAGGTGCAAGAAGGACAGATGCATCTGCAGGGACCTGCTCGACCCAAGGGGCAATGAGAAAATCCACCCTCTAGCCATGGGACAGCTCCCACATTCCCACTGTTCCTGGTTGCTCGGTGCCTGGAGGAACGTGGTAGCTCCAGTGCAATCAACCCTTGGGTGCCTAGATCCAGCCCTGAAACCACTCATCCACCAGCAGAGCTGGTTGGAGGCTAAGAGCAACGAGCAGTGCCCAGAGGGAGGGTTTTTAGGTCCCCAAATTCCCTTTTTAGGTCTTTTTTTCCGGATCCTCAAGCCCCAACYGACCACCATAGGGAGGCTGCAAACTGGGCTCCAAATCCCCAGTCCCTCCGACCGCACTCCCTGGGGCATCACCCCRCTGTCCCAGTCCAAGGACATTGCTGGGATGGGCTAGCAGGTCCTGGGGGACCCTGATGCATCCCACTCCACAAGCAARGAGCAGCACCAGCAACCCCAACCTGCTCAAAGGGCTCCAAGGCCCCGGCCGGCCGCCGCTCAGTTCCTTTCTCCCTGTCAGCAACTCTCGGTTATTTCCCGTCCAGCCTTTCCTTCCCCTCTCTGCCCCATGGAAAACGCACGGATCCCTGCCGTGCTCCGCGCGCCTGCGCTCCCGCACATTCCCTTCCCGACCCCAATGGGCACCGCTGCATGGACAGGTCACTCYACAGGAACGAATTCCAATTTTCCCAGATTTCTGGCATGTCCGAGGGCACGGGGAGTCRAGCAGGCGCTTCACCACCAGCCAGGGTGCATCCTGCCCCTGTGCATGGCAGCAAATCACACCGGGGAGGAAGAGCGCRGCTCTCGGGCACCCTTGGGTGCCTTGCTCCCCCTGCCCAAACCTCGCTGCTCCCCACACCACACGGATGGCAGGAGCTGGAGAGGGGGAGCAGAGAGTTGGGGACCCCCCCACGCTGGCACCGCCAGCCATATGGGACCCGACACTCTTGGCACCCCATACACWGCACCTCCAAAACACCAGCAGCGCTGGGTGCTTGAGACCCTCATGTCCCTTGTCACCCCCAAGCCCTCAACACTCCTGAACACACAGGACCCCCCAACTGTGGCAGYCCATTTGCAAGGGGTCCTCCGATCCTCTGCAACACCAAACACACGGGACCCTCGCGTTCCTGGCGCCACGCATGCACGGGACCCCCGAGCCCCCCGCACCCCAGACACACGGGACCCTCAGCACCCCCACATCAGCCTGCCCCCCCCCCGAACCCCAGCCTCTCCCCACGGCGYGGCGGGCGCTTACGCTGTCATGCAGGGTGCCCATGGCGCGGCTGCGGGACCGGGACCGGGGCCGGGACCGGGACCGCCCGCCCGGCCAGCCCATTTCCTCCGGCTGCAGAATCCGCGGCCCCCCCCGCTCCGGGCGGACACGGAGGGGCCGAGCCGCCCCTTTGCCCACCCCCCCGGCCCGCGGCGGGGCCAGCGCTTCTCCCGTCGGGGCTGCGATCCGGGCCGGGCCCCCGATGCAGCGGGGTCCCCCAAAACCCCCCCGGGGGTCGCAGGCTGGGGGGGGGAACCGGAGCCCGCAGCCCCGTGCTGAGCCCCGCGCACGGCACCCGCGGCCGGCGCTGCAAAGCGGGAGCTCCCGGCGCCCCTGGTCGTTATAGGTGGCCCTGGACAAGACCCCCTCTCCCACCGCCGAGTCGCCTCGTCCGGCTCCGGCCGCTCTGTGCCTCAGTTTCCCCGCCGGGCTGCCGAGCCGGCCGCTCCCCGCACGTTAAACCGGGGTGCCCAAAACGCCCACCCCACCCTGGGGCAGTGCAACGAGTGGGCTCAGCCACACGGCCCCACTCCCCTATCCCACCCGGAGGACCAAAGCAGACCCGGGAGGTGGGGGGGTCGCCGCCGTCCCTACCTGTAGCGCCTCGGAGCCGGGCGCGGAGTCCTCCGCCTTCAAGACGACCTGCTGGCCCCGTCTGAAAAATTGAACGAGGGCGGTGAGGAGATGCTGCAGCACCAGCACCATGCCGCCGCCCGGCCCGCTGCCCCCGGCCCCGCTGCCCCGGCACGCCGCGGCGCCGGCACGAAGGCTCGGGTCCGGGTCGGGTCCGGCTCGGCGTGGGTCCGGCTCGGCTCGGGTCCAGCTCGGGTCCGGCTCGGCTCGGGTCCGACTCGGGTCCGGCTCGAGTCCGGCTCGGCTCGGCTCAGGTCCCGGTCTGGTTCGGGTCTGGCTCGGCTCGGGTCCGGCTCGGCCCGAGTCTGGCTCGGGTCCGACTTGGGTCCGGCTCGAGTCCGGCTCGGCTCGGCTCAGGTGCCACTCTGCTCGAGTCCGGCTCAGCTCGGGTCTGTCTCGGGTCCGGCTCAGCTCGGGTCCGGCTCGGCTGAGCTCGGGTCCGGATCGGCTCGGCTCCCGCTCGGCTCGAGTCCGGCTCAGCCCGAGTCTGGCTCGGGTCCGGCTCGGGTCCGGCTCGGCTCAGCTCGGCGCGGCGCGGCCGGGCTGCCCGCCCCCGGGCAGGGGGGCCCCGGGCCGGCGCTCCCCGCCCCGCTCCGCCCTGCGCTCCGCTCCGCTCCGCACCTGCTGCGCGCAGCGCGGGGCAGCGGCTGCGCAGGGTCCCCAAGGGCCCCCTCCAGGAAGGGGGGGCAGGGACCCCGGCATAGGGGTGTCCCCTCGTGTAGGGCAGGCAATGGGGCGGGGGTCCCGTTATGGGGCAAGGGGTGGGGCAGCGTCCCCTGGTATCGAGTGGCTGGGGGGGGCAGGGTCTCCTGGTATGGGACAGGGCATGGGGCATTGCCCCCTGGTATGGGGCAGGGGGTGGGATTGTGTCTCCTGGTATGGGGCAGGGGGTGGGACTGTCCCCTGATATGGGGCAGGGCGGGGGGACAGTGTTCCCTGGTATGGGGCAGGTAGGTGTCCCTACCATGGGGCAGGCAATGGGGCATCGAGCTCTGGTATTGGAGAGGGGATAGGGCAGGGCCCCCTGGTATGGGGCTGTGCCCCCTGATATGGGACAAGGGATGGGGCAGGGCCCCTGGTATGGGGCTATGCCCCCTAATATGGGACAAGGGATGGGGCAGGGCCCCTGGTATGGGGCTGTGTCCCCTGGTACGGGACAGGCAGGGTGGCAGTGTCCTGGATATAGAATGGGGGAGGAGGCAGTGCCCCCCTCCCCAATCCAGTGCCCCACAGCTACGGGATTGGGGTCCAGGCAGTGTCTACAGTGAGGGAGGGAGTTGAGCCCATTCCAAGGGGTCTGGGGGTGTCCCAGTCCTATGGAAGGGATGTGCTGGGTGTGGGTGACAACCCCTCGAACGCTCACACATCCTCACGACCCTGAGCCTTAGCTGGTGACACAGCTAGTGACATAGGAGGTCTCGGTGGCCCCTGCCCAACACAGCACCCCATGACAAGGTATCCATCACACCATCCCACCCCAGGAACCCCCTGTGCTGGGCTCCTTGCTAGGTTTCATCTCCCCCTCTCTCAGCCCCCGTGTGCCCCCACCCACCTTGGTCCCACTTGGGAAGTCCCCCCCACCCATAGCACATCGCTCCCCATCCCTCTCTCTGCAAGGTCTATCCTGCGTCTCTTCCCTCCAAACCACTTTTCCATGTGTTTTGGCTGGATGTGGGATAATTTTTCCAGTGCTTCCCATGGAGGAAGGCCCATTATCTTCCTCCTATCCCATCAAAGTCCTGGCACTCCCACTGTCTCCCAGTCATGGTTAATCCTACATCCTGCCAGAATCCTGGGGGGGGGAGGGGAAGGGGGACAATTCAGGGCTGCCCCCATGCAACAGCTCTGCAGCACCAAGCAACTGCCGTGGTACTGATGGGGGAAACTGAGGCACCCAAGGGTCCTGGTGTGACTGGACCTCCGGAGAAGTGCAGGGACCACGCAGGGAAGCTGATGCCAGGTGATGCCGTGTCATGCCATGGTGCTGCCCCATGCACTGGTGCTGCTGCCCGCACCCTTGTCCATGCACTCTGCACCCCAAGCCTTGCAACCCTGCACCCCAAGCCTTGCAACCCTGCACCCCATACCCAGCACCTTGCACCCTCATCTGTGCAGTCTGAACCTTGCACCCCTGCAGCCTGCACCCCTCACCTTGCACCCTGCACCATGCACTCCTCATTTTGCACCCTTTCACCCCTCACTTCGCACCCCTACCCACATCTTGCACCCCAAATCCCACATCCCACCCCCTGCACTCCTGCACCCCATTCCCCGAATCCCACAGCTCTGCCCCCTTCACCTCTCCACTCCGCACCCTGCACCCTGCACCCTGCACCCCCCCCTTACACGTTACACCCCTGCACCCATCACCGTGCACCCTGCACCTTGCACCCCACGTCCCGCACCCGCCCGCCTCCTCGCACCCCGCACCCATTCCCTGCATCCTGCATCCCGAGCGTGCCCCGGCCCGCGGAGCGCCGAGGACACCTAGTGGCCAGCGGGTCCCAGCGGGGGGGGTCCGGGGGGGAGGTCCCTGCCCCACATCAGCCCCGGGACCACGGGGCTCTGCAGCAATGAGGGGTCCCTCCCCTGGGTGAGCACAACCCTTATGAGACACCAGAGAAGCTACAACGCCCCTGTTTCTCCCATCCATGCTCCTTGCTCTCAGGAAATTTGGGCCTAGAGGGATATGTGGGAGCAGTAGGAGGCTGCTCACGTGTTCCTCGTCTTGCATCCTGCATCCCTCATCCTGCATCCTGCATCCCGCATCCCGCATCCCATCCCCTTTCGCATCTGCTCCCATCCCCAAGCAGTCCGGTGCGCTGCCCTTTCCCCCCATGGAGCCGGGTTTGTGCAGGAGGTCGGATGCTCTCCCGCCCTCCCTCGCTCCTGGGGAAAAGCCTTTGGAAAAGCTCCGGCCTCGCTTTTCCCAGCTCCCAAGCAGGCACAGCGCTCCAGGCCCCAATTCCATGCTGGTGCCGCTGCCCACTTGGGATCCAAGTGGTGTGGAGAAGTGCATGACCATCCAGCGCCTTTATCCATCCCTTGCCCACCCTGTATCCATCCTTTATCCATGCCTGGATTCGTTCTGCAGCCCACAGCGGATACGGGGGCTCCGCGGGGAGCCGGCAGCGCTGGAGCGCTGCCAGGCGCCGGCAGCCGCGCTGCGCCCGGCCGCTCTTTCCTCGCATGCACAGGAGCAAAGTTCACCGGGGCTAGTAAATATTAACCCTTATTTAACGCCCGGGCGCCGCGTGTCCCGCTGCATTGAACAGCCAGGGGGTTTCCAAGGGCCCCTTTGCATCCTGCCCCAGAGCAGCATTCCCACTGGGGACACTGGGGACACTGGTGGGCCACGCTGCTTGGTGCATCGCCCCGTTGCGGCGCTCGGAGCAGAGCCAGTGGTGGCCCCGGGGACGCAGAGGCTAATCGAGCTGCATCAGCGGATAACGAGAGGCGTTACATCCCCGGAGCTGCTAATCCGGACTATTCCGCCAGCTGGAAATTCAGGTGGAAAGCAATCCAGCTGCTCTCCCACTAATCCGCTCGGGTGGCCGGGGGGGCCGTTCCCGGCTCCTGCCAGCTGCGGAGCTTCTCCCTGCAGCGGGACGTCGCCCTGTGCTGGATGCGGATGTGTGTCCGTTGCTCATCCGTGCGGCAACGGCTCCTCCGCCCTGCATGGGGCAATAAACGCGCCCTGCCCAGCCCTGCCAACCTGCTGCAGTTTATTATGTAGTGGCACACGCGTGTGTGCATGTTTGTGTGCATAGGTGTGACTGCATGTGTGTTCATGTGAGTGTTTGCATGCACGGGGTGGGCTTGCACGTGCATGGTTGCACACGGAGGGGGTTTGCATGAGGGTTTGCATGCATGGAGGTGGTGCATGCATGGAGGTGGTGCATGCACGGGGGTTCGTGCAAATATGAGGTGCATGCACTGGGGGGGTGTGTGCATAGCGGGGTTGCATGCATGTAAGGAGCTGAATGCATGGAGTGTGTGCATGCACGGTGCGTTTGCATACATGGGGTGGTGCATGCATGTTTGGAATGGGTATGCATGCGTGCAAGTGAATTGGGTGTGCAAGTTGCACGTGGCAGGAGCCTGTGTGGGTGCACGGCTGCACAACGGAGCTGCTGCACTGGTCCAACCATGCACCAAGGGGCAGCGCTAGGACCCCGAGCTGCACCGACCCTCAAGTTTTAGCTCTTGGGAGACTCCAAGGCCCCCTTCCCTTCCTTGCTCGCTGCACATTGCTGCCAGCAGCACTGCTAGCACATGGAAACCATGGAAATACCAGCGTGTTGGCTCTGTACAAACGCTTCCTCCAGACCTCTGACTGTGCAAAATGAGGAGAAACACCTGAAATAAACCACGAGGTTTCTAGAGAACAGGGGGATGCACCGTGAGCACGAGCAGCCAGTGCTGCAGCGTCAGCAGCAGCGCCCTGTGGGCCCAGGGAGCGATTCCCGACACTTAATTCATTCCGGAAACACGGAGCTAATCCCGTGTTGAAATCTAAATCCAGCCTCACCAGACAGCTCCGTCCCCATGGGATGAGCAAAGCTCCGATCCATTAAACTCCTTTCCTTGGAACTAAGGAGATGGTTTGCATGGGAACAGGGCCAGTGGATGGACCAGGATTGGCTCCTACCAGGGCACTTAGGGCTGGGAATTCGTCTTGGCTGCAGTCCGGATTTGCACATGAGATCCCATGCGCAAATCCCATGGGATTGAGCACAGGAGCATGGGGTGCTTGGCTCCCTGTTGGGATTTAAGCTCTTCCTGCTCCAGCCCTGTCTGCACCAGCCCCGTTGCTGCACACACGGTGGGATGAGAGGCAGGATGTGGCCAGGGGCACAGCAAGCATCCGGAAGGACCGTGTGTATCCAGAGGGAATGTGGGGATCTGGGAGACATGGTGCATCTGGGGCACATGGTGCACCCAAGGAGCCACCATGCATCCGAACAGACTGCGTGTATCCAGAGGGACCGGGAGTATCCAGAGGGATCATGTGCATCCGGA